GTGGCAGAGCCAAACACAAACCCCACATCTCCTGACTCCCAAGGCCAGGTACTTTAAAAGATAGGTAAGCCTTCCTTGCAGCCAATGAGAAGGATAAAACGTTGCCTTCCGTAGCACCTTTCAAGCAAAGCTATCAGAACCTTGTAGACAGGGATTACGCTTTGCACAAACCGGGAAGTAAATCCTGTACAGAAGGATCACTTCACCCATTTCCGAGGTGGAATACAGCAGCTGTTTAACAGAGCAGAGTAGTTTTACATAGCAGCCTAGGGCAGGAAGTGAAGAACTCTGTAGCCAGTTGAAATTACAGCAGGGTATTTAAGGAGGTCGGAGTGTAATTAACAGAGCTGGAGTTTAGCCAGAATTCCAGGGCTAAAGCAGTGTCACATGCTGCCAAGCAAACTAAAATGTAAAGCCCTGAACTTCTGAAAAGAACGGACTTGAAAAAAATTAAATGAAAGCTAATTTTCCTAATCATTTCTTGCCATTACACACATTCCCCCGAGCTGGAGGATTTGCTTAAAAATACTAACATACATGAGCTGTGTAGGTGGGGACAGATCTGAGCTCCCTTGACACCTTACTGACTCTGCTGTTAATCTTGGTGTATCTTTTCCTATGACAAGTTGTTTCATGTCCTCAGCTACCTGGTGACACAAATCGCTTTGTCCATAATAAAAATCTACAATTTCAGACTTCAAATGTTATGGGATGACCTGGTTAAGGTCATATCTTACTGACCTCTACTGGAAGGAATCAGGAATTCAGCTGTGTGTCCTATGCCCTACAGCATGAACAGCTAATGGAGATTCTATGTTAAAGTTTGGGGTAAGAAGCCAGTGGCTTTGGAGCAAAAGCACCAGGGCTCTATCACAGCTTTGGCAGAGAAGTTCCAAGGTAGCCCTGGATTTGTTATAATAATCAGGCGTGGCTCGTGCTTTGCTAGGATGAGTGAGTGAATTTGCAGCAATTGCGACTACAGGATACCAAACATATATCTCAGAACTGCAAACTTCAGGCAGTTTCACAGCACACAAAGTCCCACACAAACTTCAATGCAGTACTTTGCCCTGTGTCCCTCCCCACCCCATGCTAACCACCCAGGTAGCTTCTCTCGCTGCCGCTCTCTCCTCTACAGAGATCAATCGAGTCCTCCTGCCAGATTGCTTCAGTCACGTCACCACCCACTGCCCGTGACACTGGCGCCATCTCTGGCGTAGCAAACCCTCCATCTCTCAAAACGCCAAACTGCAGCCGCTTTCAAGAAATCACACATGGGAGGGGGAGAGGGAGCGGCAGATTACAAACCGGAATGAAAGCCAGCATTACCATGCAGCTCCTTCTAATCACGAGTGGTGGCAAAGGAAACAAAACACATGACAGATGCCCAGTGGCTGGGGTAGGAGTATTAAAGTCTTATTGTCACCCATGTATGATGGTGGCTCTTTAAGAGATGGAGAATTCTTCCGGCCCAGAAGTCTGTTGAGTGTATGTGCCAAGCCACGGGGCAGAGGTCAGGGAGAACCGGAGGGGGTTGTAAGTACATCCTTTCCATCCCTCTGTTCCAATGCTCTGATAGCACCATTTGCTAGTAAAATAACTGAAACAAGATCACACCAATCTCAGTCTCCACAGTCAATACGGTCATGGGCAAAGAGCATCTAAAACACACACACACACACTTACTTTTAAAGCCACTTGCCACAAAACTTCAGGGCTCTGCATTAGTTTGGGGTGGGGGAACCTGGAGCCTCTGCGGGCACGAGATCTTAGGCAGGGCACGCCAGGCTGCAACCTGACAGAGTGCTCCTATGTAATCCCCTCACCGCCTCGCTCTGAACCACTACGGGTCCCCCAACCTCATCCCTGAAAAGAAAGCGGAGCCCAGCCAAGGACCAGAAGGCCTTGCAGTTTCTCTCTCACGCCAGCACCCCCAGGCACCAGACGTGCATCGGATCCGGGGCAGCAGCAGGCAAGCTTTCCCCCTCAGGCCCCACTGGTCACAGCTGCAGGGGACCCCAATGGTTCATGCCCTGGCGTGGTGGCAGCGAGACTACATCAGACAGGAGGCACCCCCACACTTAGGAAGCCTCCCTCTCTTCCTTTCACGTTTCTGACACAAGCAGCCGAGTTCAGAGCCTGCCCATTTTATTCCAAAGTGATTTCAGCAGCTGCTTGGCTCCTGTTTGACAGCAGAACAAGGGAAGATACATTTCCCTGTGCCACATAACATGGGCCATGCGTCACTGGCTCCGGGGCAGCCCTGCAAGGAGAACAGGCTCATTTCCTCCCCTTGCTTTACTTTCCCCGGCAATAATTTGTGGCCTGTCGTTCCACTTTAAAACTTTATTTACAGAAGAGCCAGAAGTGTTGGTCACTTGCTATGCTGGCTATGAAGGGAACAGGAAGTATCTGAGAGATGGGAAGAGCTATGCAGAGTGCTGGATAAACATTGCCTGCTTCAGCCTCCTGTGAAATACTGCCTCCGTTTTACACACAGATGGGGGAAACTGAGGCACCGAGTGGGTAAAGCGACATACTCGAAGTCTTAGAGCAAGACAGCTGCAGAGCTGGGTACAGCCTCCAGGAGCCCTGAGCCCACTCCCCGGCTTTAAGCACCAGACCAATGCTGCTGGTGGAGGTATGGGAAGACAGCATGAGATATACAGCAAGATGTGCAACTACCAATGTACCTGAGCGTATCTATGAACAGTGCTGACAGCTTTGCAGATGCCAGCCTGTTCTGCCTCTCTTGCCAGCAGAATTTGAATCAAACTTTCATCTTTCTTAAAATAACTGGACAAAATGTTCCCAAAATATGAAGGGTTTCCATGGCAATGCTTGTATTTGCTAGTGGTAGGGTTGAAAGCGACCAGGTTACTTGCTACCTGTCCACGCATCCAAACATAAACTTTCTCTGAGTGGAATAACATTATGAGCCTGACTTCAGTAACTTCCTCGGTCCTGCTCCCAGAACCAGGTCCAAGAGATCGGTGGTCTCAACTTATTCTTTTAACATCCATCCCACCCCGATGGTGAGCGTCAACAGAAATAATGTGGACTGAATATCTGCACTGCTGATCCTTCTCTCTGGACCCAGCTGCCTCTGATCAGAGGTCCATGTGGGAGGCCTCTGGTGGGGCGGTGCTGGAGGCACTACGTGTAGCTGCTGCCTTAATGCCACAAGTGATTAGCAGGAAAACAGAAGCGAACTGTAAGTACTGAGCACATACACAGCACTCCATAGATTTACACTTTGCTACACTCCTGTGAGACAGGTGAAAAGTCACTCTACCCATTTTACAGATGGGAACAGAGTCCAAATTGCAAGAAGAGCACGGGCTGAGTTGCATGCAAAGTTCTGCACAGCACATGCACACTGGCACCTGCAGGCATGCAATGCAGCATGCACACACTTTGGAAGATTTGACCCAGAAAAGAAAATGCCTTGAGCAGGATTATCCTGCAGGGATGGAACCAGTAGAACTTCTTAGCAATGCAGCCTACCGTCCATAAGATATGATTTTATATCTGATGGAGGTCATAACTGTTCTGAGCCTGAGGAACAATCTTGGCTTTACATGCCAGAATCTAGTCTATTATTTATAACAAGAAATATGTTTAAGTGATTCTCTTGTCCTTGAGACACCAGAATCAGAGTGGCGTGTAGCCATATGAAATGTGTTCTGTGGGCATTCATTCCATAGCTGAGTCCACCCTACAGATGCAGAGCTCTGGGCTCCAGAGAATTGGACTCCAAGGAATAAATCCCTCTACTTAAATCTAACAAAGATACAGACAGCCTCAGGCCCTAGGGAGAATGCTGGTGTTAATACTGGGAGCTCTAGTTTTAGCAGAGACACAAAAAGTCTCGAATGCATAGTCTAGAAAAGGAAGAGAGTTCAGAACAAGAACACCATGCATCTTCCATCCTGCCATTCTGGGAAATCTCTCCAGTAGCTAAAATTAAATATTCCCAAGTTTGGAGATTTTTTTGAAGGAAAAGGGGGGAAACAAAATTTTTAAAAAGTTTGCTGCTAGCGGTATCTGTGCAGAAACTCTGCCAGTCTAAGTGGGTGGTCCTTCTGGAAAAATTACAGAGAGAGACAGCCCCACAAAAGCGATATCCCTTTGGATTCCAGGGATGGGCCCTGCATAGTCAATTCCCCCTAAGCATGCCTCATTGCTGTGGCATTATATTCGCATCCATCAACAACAAAACAGACAGGGAGGAACACTACAGGAACAGCAGATCTATTTTCTCACTCAATTGAGGGGGTTTCTTTGCTCAAAACAGCTGTACCGGATGTTATGATAACTTTAAAAAAAACACCTTCCCTCCCACAATTCGGTATCCTGGCCCCTAACTTTCCTCATCCAGAAGAGCTGGGTATTATGGGCCTGATTCTGCCTAGCGAAATAAGAGTCAGTTGATAGAATTAAAAAATAAAAGTTACATAAAGCTTGTGCCAATGATCCAAAGAAACTACCAGGACATAAACCAGGGCAGATGAGATATAACTGAACTCCACAATTAAACACAGACACAGGGGACCCTGAGTGCTCTTTGCAGAGAGAACCTGAGATGCAGAGTTAGTCTATTTCCAAAAAGAACAGGAGTACTTGTGGCATCTTAGAGACTAACAAATTTATTAGAGCATAAGCTTTCGTGGGCTACGAAGAAGTGGGTTGTAGCCCATGAAAGCTTATGCTCTAATAAATTTGTTAGTCTCTAAGGTGCCACGAGTACTCCTGTTCTTTTTGCGGATACAGACTAACACAGCTGCTACTCTGAAACCAGTCTATTTCCAGACAGGGAGGTTAAAAAAGAAGCAGACTGGGGGGGGGGAGCAATGTATTTTTCACCCCCTTTCCATCAGCAGCAGAGCCTGTTGACAAAAAGCGGCTACCACTTGTTAGCGGGGCCGTGGAGGAATCCTACAACAGACCCCTTGCAAGGGGGGAGGCGCACACACACAGCCGCACCCGGGTTCACTCACCTTGTAGCTGGGCGGACAGCGCTTCCTGCTGCTGTTTGAATTTCAGAGCCAGGGCTTCGGCGTCCTTCGCCTTCTGCTGCAAGTGGCTGCCCAGGAAAACTCCGGCGCCCAAACACGCCACCGCCACCAGGCAGAAGCCGGTTTGCAAGAGCCCCTTCTGCCTTCGCGAGCACACGCCAGTCCCCATGATGAGACTGGAGCCGACCGGGCTCGGAGCTGCGTCGCTTCCCGGCTTCCCCTAAAGCAGCCGGGCCAAGCTGAACCCCACTGGCCGCCAACTACACATCCCCGAAGTTCTGCCCTTCCCCGGAGCGACCCTGGCTGGGGGAGGCTGTTCCTCTCCCTCCGTCCCGGGCTGGGGAAGCGCCCGATCGCCTTTTATTCCTCAGCGCCCGCAGGCGAGCGGGGCAAAAGCACCACCGAAGTATCCAGGGAGGCGCAGCGCGGATGCGAAGGGGGACGCGGGGCGCCCGGTCCCGGGCAGCGGGCTGGCTGCTGCCGGCTGGCACCAGGGGCGGGAAGCAGCAGCAGCGGGGAGAGGAAAACTTTTGCTTCCCATGTGCTGCCAAAATCAATCAATCCCTCAATCCAAGATCAATGCGAGGGCGGCGTTTTGGCCCTGCCTCCTAACCCCCCGCCCCCCTCCCTTCCTGCGGGAATCGCCAGACTTTCCGGCTCTTGCCTCCCCCCGCCTCAAACTTGCAACAGTTTCAAAGAGGAAGCCACAGCCCCCGGGGACGGGGGGGGGGGGAACTGACATGAAAATGGACCAATGCACCCGAGCTGCAGCTGCAGGGAGTCCGCCCTCTTAGGAGGCGCTGGAGGACCCAGGCTGGGAGGGGGGCGTGATTTGGGGAGGAGCTGAGCTGGGAAGGGAAGCACAGAGTGGGGTGGCTGTAGCCAGGAAGGATCAAAGAGGAGGGGCCGAGCCGTGGGGAGGAGGAGGTTGTAGCACCATAGGTGGGTTTGGGGCTGTTTTGAGGAGGAAGAGGCTGGGCTGCAGCGTGGGGCTGTAGCATTGCTGGGAAGGGGGGCAGGCGGGGCTGTTGCATGAGAAAGGGGACAGGCAGGGCTGCAGTGTGGGGATGGGGTATTGCTGGGAAGGGGCGGGGGGGCTGTAGCGTGGGGAGGGGGGCTGGCTGGGAAGGGGGGCGGGCTGGGCGGCGGTGTGGGGAGAAAGTGGGGTGGGCAGGAGAGAGGGGTGCACAGGGATGCACTTGGGTAATGGTCCAAACCAGCCTAGCTTATAATAGGGATCCTGCAGGGCCCAGGCCTATGGGCTGGAGGCAGCTCTGGGGATAATGTATCTGGGCTGCGGGAGAAGCTGAGCCTGGCAGCATGCAGCTGCAGAGAGGGTGAGGGGCTGGGGATGGAGCATCTGGTCCGAGGGGGGAACAGTGGGGGGGTGAAAGTGGTGCTGAGGAGAAGCCAGAGGGGCTGTCTGCAACAGGGGGTTGGCTCTGCCTCTTGCTCCTCTCCCCGCACCCAGAGAGAACCAGGCTGGCCCAGCTGCAGGTCGATAGGGCGAACGGGCGGTGCCAGAGGCATTAACGGCAGGAAGCGAGGGCCAGCAGACAAGATCGATAAGTCACTGTTGTTATGAGGAAGCATATTTCTATCTGGGCTGATTTTTTCCAGCTCCAGCAGCCCCCGAAGATGGAGGGCTTGGCGGTGGCACAGCGTCTGGGGATGATGCGTGCCTGCAGCTCCAGCTAATGGACCAGAGAACGCTCAGTGTCCCATTAGTATTGTAAAGGAAGCAAGGGAGACTTTTGTAGCGCTCTGCAGCTTCTGCCTGTTGTGGAGCTGGCTGAGAGTTAAACATTCATCAGGTCACATTTGGTCCCAGACTGACATGTTTGTGATTTTTGTTTTCAATACAAGTTTCTCTGACACCTCAGGCCACTAGAAATCCAATGGAAACAGGTGGATGGACTGCTGCTCTCCCCCCCCCCCCATCTCCCCATGTAGCAGGGGTGGGCTAGTGCACGAGAGACTGATGCTGCAGCAGACAAGAAACAACCAATTTATGGAATTGTTTGTTTTCTGAGCTAAGATGGGTAAAGGGAAATGGGGGTTTTTCTAATGAGTTTTGCCCGAGTAAGAACTTCAACATTTGGGTTTCTCGCTCACAAAGTATCACCAACCTCCTCCCTTCAATCAAACATCTGTTCAAAAACGTGTGGATATTTTTTTCTTACCTTATTCTTGCTTTTCCTGTCACCCCCTCTTGGACTTCCGGTTCTGACCTGAGTCCAGAAGGTGCCAAACTACCACTAGAGAGTCCTTTAGGGTAGTTGTAGCCTAAACAGCAAATAATCCACTTACTCCAGAAACATCCCAATGACTTGCAAGGAAGCGAGGGTTAGTGAGGTTTCCATCCGAAATCTGTAGACCTAAGAGGTTTGGAAAGATTACATTGCTGTAGCTGTCCAGCTCTTTCATTGAGAAAGCCACTTCACAAGAGAAAGATTCTTCCATCGACCTATCTCTCCCAATCCCCTGCCATGTGATGTTGCCCAGCAGTGGTTCATTCCGCAGACCACCAGGAAAGTGTCTGTGAGCTACGTTTTGAGCAGCACTTCTCTAGCTGATCATCCTACTACCTTCTAGGTGTTTATCTGAACCAAACCTCGGTCCTCTGGAGGTTTGCCAGTTACCTACTCAAGTAGAGATGGAACAGATGGACCTTGCAGAAAGAAATCATGCCTTTTTCAACTATGCCTAGGTTAACTCCAGTGATGGTATGTCAGAAACATCTTAAAAGTCTCAACACCAAGCTGAGGGTCCATGGGTGAACTCCTGGCCTCCGTGAAGTTAATGGCACAACTCCCATCAACGTCAATAGGGTCAGGATTGCGTCTTATATGCTTTCATCATCTAATGAGCGAAGGTGACTGTAGCTCTGGGTTCATATGTCAAAGTTGTGGGCCACCTTCACCAGGAGGAGTTGAAGTATTTGTATTAAATTGCATTTGATAAAATCAGATCTCTCTGGGTGTGTGACTTGCTTTTATCACTTTTTAAAATATCTCTTTTCTGATGTGTTGTCAATTTAATTTTAGCAACATACAAGTCCACGAAAGGCATCCGGGCCCGATGGGTGCCTAAAGCCTGGGAAACTGCCCTCTCTAACCTGAGCGGCATCTCTGCATTGAGCAGACCATTTTAAAGGTGCTGCAGGTGACGGTGGCCTTTCCAAAGAAGCTGTCCTTGCAGTAAGTATTCAGCTCCTTCCGTGCGGTGCCAGAGCCTGCTGTGCCTGAGCAGTCAGTTCAGCTTAGATCCAAGCCATCGGTGTTTCCAAAGCGGCTGTGGGCTCTTCCCTGATCCTTCATGTTCAGCTGCAAATCTCATTTTAAAGTGAAAGGTTCTTCCATGCACTTACCTCAGCCTTTTCATGACAATCATCTTGTCGCAATGTGGCCAATGTATTCAAATCTAACATAAATGGCCATCATAAGAACATCAGAATGGTCATATTGGCTCAGACCAATGGCCCATGTGAACAGAACAGGGCAATTATCGAGCGATCCATCCCCTGTCAGCCACTCCCAGCTTCTGGCGGTCACAGGCTAGAGCCAGCCAGAGCATTGAGTTTCATTCTTGACCATCTTAGCTCAGAGCCATTGAAGGATCTATCCTCCATGAACTTCTCATTCTTTTTGGAACCTAGTTATAGTTTTGGCCTTCACAACATACCCTGGCAATGAGTTCCACAGGTTGTCTATGCAATGTGTGAAGAAGTACTTCCTGTTGTTTGTTTTAAACCTGCTGCATATTAATGTCATGGAGTGACTCTTGGTTCGTGTGTTATGCGAAGGGGTAAGTAACACACTTCCCTATTCACTTTCCCTACACCAGTCTTGATTTTATAGACCACTATCATGATATCCCCCACCCCTTAGTTGTCTCTTTTCTAAGATGAACCTCTCCTCTTACTAGGGTGACCAGATGTCCCGATTTTATAGGGACCGTCCTGATATTTGGGGCTTTTTCTTATATAGGCACCTATTACTGCCCACCCCCTGTCGCGATCTTTCACATTTGCTATCTAGTCACCCTACCTCATACAGAAGCTGTTCCATATCCGTCGTCATTTTTGTCGCCCTTCTCTGTACGTTTTCCAATTCTAATATATCTTTTTTGAGATAGGGTGATCAGAACTGCACACAGTATTCAAGGTGTGGGCGTACCATGAATTTATATGTGGATTTATGATTTTTCTGTCTTATTATCTAACCCTTTCGTAATGGTTCCTAACATTCCGTTAGCGTTTTTGACTGCCAGGGCACAGTGAGCAGATATTTTCAGAGGACTGTGCGCGATGATTCCATCATCTCTTTCCTAAGTGGTAACAACTAATGTAGACCCCCATCATTTGTATGTATAGTTGGGATTATGTTTTCCAATGTGCATTAATTTGCCTTTATCAACATTGAGTTTTATCTGTAATTTTTTAGCCCAGTCACCAAGTTTTGTGGGATCCCTTTATAACTCTTAGCAGTCTGCTTTGGACTTAACTAGCTTGAGTAATTTTGTATCTGAAAACTTTTCCACCTCACCGTGTACCCCTTTTTCCAGATCATTTATGAATATCTTGAACAGCACTGACCCCCATACTGACCCTGCTATTTACCTCTCTCCCTGGTGAAAATTGACCATTTATTCCTACCCTTTGTTTCCTATCTTTGACCCAGTTACTGATCCAAGGTTTGTGAATGTGTCTTTGGATTTACCAACCCCAGCAGTCAGATGGCTTTCTCAGCCATGTAGCGGAACCCACAAGAATGGTTCATTTGGAGCTCTGCCAGATTTGGAATCCTGCTGCCTCTCTCATGTTCCAGGCAACTGGGAAATAACCAAGAGTCATGTTAATAATTGGTACTTCAATAGCACCTTCCATCCAAGAATCTCCTGTCACTTTACAGATATGAATGACTTAAGCTTTATAACACCCCTGTGTGGTCGATGAGTATCATCATCCCTCTTTCACAGGAGGGGGAAACTGAGGCACAGCAAGATTTTTAAGGCTAAAATTTTCAAGCGTGGCTAGTGATTTTGGATGCCTAGCTTGAAATGCTTTAAAAACGGGGCTCGGTTTTTCAGAAAGTGCCAAGCATTTGCCCTCTGAAATCAGGCCCCTTTTACGGGTGTCTCAGGTTGGGTGCTTAAAATCACTAGTCACTTTTGAAAATCTTGGCCTACATGACTTGCCCAAGATCATGCAATGAGTCCATGGCAGACCCAGGATTGCAACCCAGTTTACCTGACTCCCAGGCCAGTGAACTCATTTACAAGACAGATTTCCTCTTCCATACATTTGGGGATAGTCACAAAGAAGGATGATGAACATCATCCTAGGGCAATGTTTCTCCAGTCCACATACATCTCATTGTTTATTAGATGTATTATGGTAGTGCCTGGAGACCCAGTCATGGACCGGGGCTCCATTGCACACACTAGGCACTCTACACATGGACCCAGCTGAGGGTAGGAGTGGTAGTCTAGTCATAAGAACATAGGCCTTTGCTCCCAGTGACATTCCATATGGAACAGATGAACAGGATTGCCTAGAGCAGAGGCCCTTTTGTTCTTACAGCTCCATTCATTATTATTTACACATGAACA